GCACACCGTTCGGGAGCGGAGTATGCTGGCCTGGATATGGCTACAAGAAGGCTCACAGATGCCAATGTCTATGCGGACGTGAGAGCCGAAGCTGGTGCGGCGATGCATCCAGCTATCAGCGAGGATTTCGCGAAGGCTATCGACACGGCCACTGTGAGGATCAAGAACTTCGCGAAGCTGGTTGCGGCAGTACTACCCTTGTTTGATCGTGATGCTCAAGAGCGTTGGACACGGCGAGCAGCCCAGGCCAAGAGGGTAAGGAGTACGCGTACTGAAGGATGGCACCAGTGGGAAGAAGGAAGTTTCGGTCTACAATGTAAGGCGTGCTTGAAGATCAACAGCCCAGGGACGGAAGTTATGCTCAATGGTTGTGCTGGCGCCCCTACCTTCCTCAAGGCTTTCCTCGAACAACCACTCGGACATCACCTAGTGGCGGTGAACCAGAAGGGCGACGGGCTCAGCGACGAAGCGGTCCCTACGGTCTTTGTCTGTGTTGGCTGTGGTGCTTGGGCGCAACAACGTCGACGGCAGAAGCTCAGGGGGCAGTGCGAGCCGCCAACCCGACAAGGCGTAGAAGTGCTGACGAATCTTCGACGGGGTTTGGGCCCACGCAAGACGCTGGCGAGGCATATGGACATGACGACCCCCCTGTGTAGGCTGATGCCCAAGGCCCTGCCCCCTCTGCTTTCGAAGACTTGTGTCACTCGACCTGTGGCGATGGCGGAGGACACGGGGTGCGAGCACAAGTTGGCAGCCATGATGGAAAGGATAAAGGCAAAGGAAAAGGCGAAGCGTGAGCAGGGCGACGACAACAACACGATCCTCGGACGCACGCGACACGCAGTTCCTGAAGCGGCCGATCCACAACATGGGGGTAGTGCTTGCACGGGAACGGGGACGCCCACTGAGTCCCTGGTGCCCACTGAGCCTGAGGGTCCTCAGCGTCGCCACGTTATTGATGTGCCCCCTGCGGCGCAACTTTGTGGCGATCCCCTACCCGCGCCTGATGAAGACGGAGTCGGTGTTGGTGACGGTGCACGCTGCAGCCGCATCGGAAAGGAGGCAGGAGCAGGGCCTCAGCCGAGCGGCGAAGGTGGAAAGGAGGCAGGAGCAGGGCCTCAACCACCTGACGGAGACAGCGTTCTCGCCAGGGACCGCGTCGGAAAGGGGGCAGTAGCAGGGCCCCAACCGAGCGGTCGCGGCGGAAAGGAGGCAGGAGCAGGGCCTCAACCGCTTGCTGGAGGTGCGCAGCAGCGAGGACGAGCACGGCAGCCAAGTCTCTGGGCCCTTTTTCAGGCGGCATCGGGACGACGCGCTGAGGGCGGGCAGGAGGACCATGGGCCGAATCCCATGGGAAGGGCAAGCGGTGTTCTCGAGCAGCAGACGTTGGAGGCAATCATGGGCGCCCAGGCGCTCAGCGGCAACCACAGCGGGAAACATGCTGCTCGAGGCCGCGCAGAGGTCGTTGGCAGCTTTCGAGGCCAGGCTGCGGCTGCGGTGGCAAGTACTACGAGGAGTACTTCGAGAAGAAGGGCGGAGCCAGCGGCCATGGAGGTGCCCAGCCAGGGGCAGCGAGGTCTGCGAGCTGCTTCTGAGGGCGCACTCCAGGGAGCTGCTGGCGCTACGACGTGGGGTACTACGTGGAGTACGTCCTGCACAGCGCCTGTGGCCCTGGATGTGTCTCCCAGGGGCGGCGCGGAGGCGGCTGGGGCGATCCGCCCTAGCCGCCTTTCCCCTGGGCGGCGAGGGGTTAGGCCGCAGCGGCTGCGGGCGGCGCTCGACGAGACGCAGGGAGATGCTGGCGCTACGACGTGGGGCACTACGCGGAGTACTCCCTGCACGGCGCCTGTGGCCCTGGATGTGTCTCCCAGGGGCGGCGCGGAGGCGGCTGGGGCGATCCGCCCTAGCCGCCTTTCCCCTGCGCGGCGAGGGGTTAGGCCGCAGCGGCTGCGGGCAGCGCCCGACGAGACGCAGGGAGCTGCTGGCGCTACGACGTGGGGTACCACGCGGAGTACTCCCGGCACGGCGCCTGTGGCCCTGGATGTGTCTCCCAGGGGCGGCGCGGAGGCGGCTGGGGCGATCCGCCCTAGCCGCCTTTCCCCCTGCGCGGCGAGGGGTTAGGCCGCAGCGGCTGCGGGCAGCGCCCGACGAGACGCAGGCGCCGAGCGCCGAGCTGGCGACGCCGCTGGCTCCCGCGCTGAGTGCCCGCGGCCGCGGGCGCTCGGGCGCGGCGGCCCCCGGGGGGGCGACCTGCGACCGCAGGAGTGTGTCTCTCTCTCTCTCTCTCTTTCTCCTCCTTCTCCTCTTCCGTCGTTGATTTTCCTTTCTCCTCCTCCCGTCCTCCTGCTCACCCTCCTTCCCCTCCCCTCCTTCAGCGTCTGCGCCCCTTATCCTCATTGCTTCTTCCTCCTGCTCACTTCCGTTTCATCCTCCCCCTCCTTCTCCCCCTTGTTCTCCCTCATTCTCGTCCTCCGTTTCTTCCTCATCCGTTTCCTTCTCTTCTCTCTCCTCCTCCCCCCCTCCACCTTGCCAACCTCTGCTGAAATTCATTTAATGCGTAGGGAATGTGAACGGCCGACTGGTTGGCTGTTGAGACCACCGGTCGTACACTGCACCACCTCGCATAGGTGCGTTCTCCGTTCCGTCGTCGTGAGGTGCCTTTGGATGACCCCATGCGCAATGCAACAACAACCCATCCGTCCCTCCCTTCCTCTCCTCCACCATCCCACCCTCTACATCCCCCTTCTTCTCTCCCTTTCCCTCCCCCTCCCCCTCCCCCTTTCCTCCTCCGCCTCCTCCTCCTTCTCCTCCTCCTCCCCCTCCTTAGCTTCCTCCTCCTCCTCCTTTTCCTCCTCCTCCTCCTCCTTTTCGTCGTCGTCGTCCTCCTCCTCCTCCTCCTCCCTTCTCCCCTCCTCCTGCGGCCAAGCCAGACGCCAGCATGAGTCTGCCGACGCGCATGCTCAGAGGTGGGTGGCGCACTTCCCTTTGATCGGGACCACTTCCGCCACGACATGAGCCAATCCACGAAACAACAACAACAACAACAACAACACCAACAACAACAACACCAACAACAACAACACCAACAACAACAACAACAACAACAACAGCAACAGCAACATCATCAACAACAACAACAACCACAGCAACAACAACAACAGCAACAGCAACAACAATAACACCAACAACAACACCAACAACAACACCAACAACAACAACCAACACCAACACCAACACCAACCAACAACAACAGCAACAACAGCACCAACAACACCAACAACAAAACCAGCAACATCACCAACAGCAGCACCAGCCACAACACCAACAACATCAACACCAGCACCACCAACAGCAGCAACGACAACAACACCAACAACAGCACCACACATAACACCACCACCAACAACACCAACACCAGCACCAGCAGCAACAGCAGCAACATCAACACCAACAACAGCAACAGCACCAGCAACAACACCATCACCACCACTACCAACAACAGCAACAACACCAACACCAGTAACAACAACATCAACACCACCAACAACAACAGTACCAGCACCAACATTAGCAACAACACCAACACCAACACCAACACTAGCAGCAACACCAGCAACACCAACAACACCAACAATAACACAACCACCAACACCAGCAGCAGCACCAGCAACACAAACAACACCAACATCAACACCACCAACACCACCAGCACCAGCAACACCAACAACACCACCGCCACCAACAACAACAACAGCATGCTAGGGGCCTCGCGGGGATGAGGCCTCTCCACTGCGAATGGGCTTCAAGAGGAGATGCATGACCTTACTGACCATGGCGCGCGCGTGTGCAGTCGCAAGGTTGGCCAGCATCCTCGCCCTGTATAAGCCTGATGCCGGGGTGCCCGTGCACTCTGCGCGGAGCCGATCAGTGATCTTCGCCCTTCCAGCCCACGCCTCGCACAGACCGCACACTGCACCCCATTCCCTTCTTGAGAAGGATGGATCGCATACTGAGCCCCACCCGCCACAGCAACCCTGTCCGCTGCGATATCGGGCCTCGCGAAGGCCCTGTGCGTGGCACTGGTTGGGGGCGCCAACAAGGTGTCGTCGAACGCCGTGTCGGTGAAAGATGCGTGCGATCGAGATCGGTGAGTCGCGGCCCGATACGAGCTACCCACGGAGCATATTTCGGCAAACCTAACTCCTTGGCCTGCCTGGCCTTGCGGAGGTTGTCAGGGATACGCATACGTTGTGCCATCCGTTGTGCCCAGTCGTCAGCCAGATTATTTCCTACCCTCTCAAACCGAGGGGACACACCAGCTTGCACGCTTGCTTCCGTGCAATATCCGTGAACTGCGTGCGCAACGACAGCATCGATATTTCCCAAATCCTCAACGCGAGCCCATACCTTACACCAAACTTCAGCCCAGGCACTGCGCGCGGAGCAACGCAGCTGCTTGCCTCTCTATAAAGTCCGTCGGCAGTAAACGAGGAATCGGAGTAGAACCGAGTTCCAGGGAGGGAGTGGTGCAGCCCACGCAGCAGGGCATGCATCTCAACATGACCGATGTCGGCTCCGACTCCGACGAGGCCGCCGGCCATGAACTCCTTCCTTTCTCCTCCTCCTCCTCACTCTCCTCCTCCTCCTCCTCCTCCTCCTTCTCACAGTTCTCCTCCTCCTCCTCCTCCTCCACTTCCTCACTCTTCTCCTCCTCCTTTTCCTCCTCCTCCTCCTCCTCTCCTCCTCCTCCTCCTCCTCCTCCTCCTCGTCCTCCTCCTCCTCCTGTTCTTCCCCAGACATTCGACGTTGTGAGGTTGTCACAACGTGGCTCCCCAGAGGTCTGGACCCCTTCCCCCGGATCGGCCTTCTCTCCCGAGTTGTGTTCTTGTGCGGTCCCAGGGGCCAGCGAGGGCCCCCAGAGGCCGAACATTGAACAAAATCCTCCGTCCGTGATTTTGCACCACGAGAGTATCTCAGGGTTCTGCTCTCCCGTGCCCCAGGTGGATGCTCTACAACGACCGGACGCTCACCGTCTACCAGATCCTGGAGGGGCCGAGGGACGCCGTGGAGGGCCTCTGGAGCAGGACCGCCGCGGTGCGCTCAAGAGGGGAGGTGTCCAGGAGGAGGAGGAGGAGGAGGAGGAAGAGGAGGAAGATGCAGAAGAGGAGGCGGAGGGGGAGGAGGAGGAGGAGGAGGAGGCGGAAGAGGAGGGGGAGGCGGAACAGGAGAATGAGGAGGAGGAGGAGGATGAGGAGGAGGAAGAAGAGGAGGAGGACCAGTGGAAACCCAAGAGTCATCAACGATTTTGGAATTCACCCTCTCTCCAAGCTCCCTCGTCATAGGCCCCTACAACGGTTCATTTCCATTGAGGGAACAGGAGTATGGAGAGGACGAGGAGGAGGAGTATGGAGGAGTATGGGGAGGAAGAGGAGGAGGAGGAGGAGGAGGAGGAGGAAGAGGAGAAGGAGGAGGAGGTGTCCAGTAGAAGGAGGAGGAGGCGGAGAAGGAGGAGGATGAGAAGGAGGAGGAGTAGGAATACATATGATAATCATGATACTATCAGGAGTAAGACTTACACACTACGAAAGACAAGTCTACTAAGACGACCATCAACACTATGCATAACGAGAAGACTGATAATACACATCATCATTATATTAGTACCATGAAGATAAACATTGGTAAACACATATGTGCCACTGCAAATAATACATCTAACAGTAACACTGCGAAGACAAATGATAATACGATTACGAATAATAACACTAATACGATTATTAGTAGTAATACTAGCAATACTAGTAATCATAATAATAATAGTCGTAGTAATCATACTACGAATACTAATACCACAACTGATTCTTATTCTTACAAGAGGACGTGGAGGAGAAGGAGGAGGAGAAGGTGGTGGAGGAGGAGGAGGAGGCGGAAGAGGAGTATGGGGAAGAGGAGGAGGAGGAGGAGGAAGAGGAGGGGGAGGAAGAGGAGCATGGGGAACAGGAGGAGGATGAGGATGAGGAGGAGGAGGAGGAGGCGGAAGAGGAGGTGGAGGCGGAGGAGGAGGAGGAGGAGGAGGAGGAGGAGGAGGAGGGGAGGAGAGGAGAGGAGGAGGAGGAGGAGAAGGAGGAGGAGGAGGAGGAGGCAGGGGAGGGGGAGGAGGAGGAGGAGGAGGAGGAGGAGGAGGAGGAGGAGGAGGAGGAGGAGGAGGAGGCGGAAGAGGAGGAAGAGGAGGAGGAGCTGAAGGAGTGATGATGCGTGAGGGAGGGATAGAGGACGGATGTGGAGGGCGGTGGAGGGAGGAGTCTTCGCCTCGGTCCCCTGTGCCGCACACTCGCCACGTCCCCCAACCCCCAGAGCTCTCCTGGGGCGCGCTCTGGCGCGAAATCCGAGCTGCACCCACCCGTGGCGACGAAGGGCACGTTTGCAGGCCAAGCAAAAAATGGCCAAGCGTCCCAAACCTTGATGGTCCTCGATCCCTTCTTCCTCTTCCTTCTCGTCCTCGTCGTCGTCCTCGTCCTAGTCCTCGTCCTCGTCCTCGTCCTCGTCGTCGCCGTCGCCGTCGTCGTCGTCGTCGTCGTCGTCGTTGTCATCGTGGTCGACGTCGTGCTCGTCGTCGTTATCGTTGTGGTGGTGGTGGTCGTCGTCGTCATCGTCGTTGTTCTCATCATTCTCCTCCCCTGAGATCGACGTCACGAAACACCTGCAGCATCGTAACCAATCTCTACTGGAGCCCTGGACCCCATGTTTCTACGGCATTCTTCGAGCCAGATAGATCTATGAGGGTCCCAGGGCCCGAAACAGTTGAACATCTTCCTTCGCGAAGAGAGGCGACGCCCGGATCTCAGGCTTCTCCTCATCCTCCTTCTCCCCCTCCTCAGGGTTGTCCTCTCCTCAGTAGCCATGTTGGCTCAAACAGAGAAGCTCAGGCCACTTCTTTGGGACGCTCTTGGCTACCAGCTGCATGCTGTGGGCGGCTGGCGGCAGCAAGCTTCTAACCGTACATCCAGCACTGCCGGCACGCCCAGGGGCGCCAGCGCAGGAAGGCAGGGTCAGATGCTGATGATGATGCAACCGCTCCAGGCTTGGACTCCGAACTGGCTCACCGTGTTTCGCAACTCGGGGCGCATGTATCATGTCTTCAGAATGAGGCTGAGCATCATTCAGGGGTCGCTGATCGTCGACGGGATCTTGAACCGGTTCTTCTCTGGACTCCGTGCGATAGTTCCCCACACATCGACCGCTGTTCTCTCTTCCGATTCGCCGGCAGCAGTTCGGAGCCGGACATGAAAGCATCTCCGCAGAAGCACCCATCTCTGAACAAATACACGCCGATCGCCACCAAGACAGACGCCGCATGCTTGTTTACAGAGCTAGACTTGGACAACGATTTGAAGGCCAGTGATATCGAGTAACATACTCCTTTCGCACCTGGGGATAGGGTCAGGGCTGCTAATGTGTCCTTTTGCGACTTACGCATCTTGCTACGGAGAGGTCTACTCGACACAGTTCTGGAGATCGATGAAGATGGAGACATGCGCGCGCACTTTCCAAGTTTGGCCTCAGAGCTAGCTGTACGATGTGAAACGCTGGGTGCACAGCATTGACTTCCTGAACATGCGAGTTGCGCCAGGTACCCCAGACAGGCACCACGCATGAGTTTGTTTTTGTACCCCTGGCCCTAACGCAATCTTTGTGTTGTAGCATTGTGTACAGACGCGCTCATCGGTCGATACGCCCGTCCTGTCGCAGGGACATGTTGTTTGATTTTCCGCGTGTTGTCTTCCTGTGCTTCAAGCCTTCCGTCCTGGTTTGTTTCCCATTCCGATGCCTCCCCCATCCATCTTGCATCATGCTCACACCGAGGAGCTGGTGGATATCCTAATCAGCTTGCGTGCCTGGCGCTACGGCGCCCCCGCTCCGTCCCTAGGTGGACCGGGTTCCAGCGTGTGTGTGTGTGAGCGTCCGTGTGTCCGTCAGTCGGTCCGTCCGTCCCTTCGTGCTCCTCCGTAGTCTGAGGGGTGAATGGGCCGTACTAGGAATCCTGCGAGAGGCTGCTCTTGACTGAGGGTCCCTGTCCATCAGGGAAGGCCCATCCGAGCAAGGTCACCCTCCTCCTCCTCCTCCTCCTCCTCCTCCTCCTCCTTCTCCTCCTCCTCCTCCTCCTCCTCCTCCTCCTCCTCCTCCTCCTCCTCCTCCTCCTCCTCCTCCCCCCACTCCTGGCCCCCGCTCCTTCCGCGGCCCTCCCCGCAGGATAAGCCAGGACCCCCGCCACGTAGTCATCGCGGACAGCGTTCACAGGGCCACCGCGCGGCGTCAGCCGTCGTCGTCGTTCTTGTCCTTGCCCCCCCCCTCGTGCTTTTGCCCCTGTTGTGGAGCAGACGAGGAGAAGGAGGAGGGAACGGATGCCTCTCTGAGATCCTGTCGTCGCATTTGTTTCACAACGGGCGAGTTGCATGTTTCGGGCCCCCCTTACGTATCAACCCGGCTCGAAGAATGCCGCAGGAAGACTGCGTCCAAGGTTCTGGCTGGGCTTCATTTGCGAGGTCCATGCCACTGATCGAGTTGTTGTTACGATGTTGCATTGTTTCGTGACGTCGGATCCCAGGGGAGGAGGAGGAGGAGGAGGAGGAGGAGGAGGGGGAGGCGGGGGAGGAGGAGCAGCAGGATGATGATGATGCTGATGATGATGATGATGATGATGATGACGATGATGATGCTGATGATGATGATGATGATGATGATGATGATGATGATGATGATGATGCCGTGATGATAATGATTCTGCTGCTGATGATGCTTATGATTATGACGATGATGCCGATTATGATGATGATGACGATGCTGCTGCTGATGATGATGATGCTGATGCTGCTGCTGATAATGATGCTGGTGATGATGATGCTGCTGAAGATGATGCTGATGGTGATGGTGATGATGCTGATGCTGTTGCTGCTGCTGCTGCTGCTGATGATGATGATGATGATGATGATGATGATGGTGATACAACGGGGGAGGATGGAGGAGGGTGAGGGTGAAGCGGCTGAGGAGGAGGAGAAGGAGAAGGAGAAGGAGGAAGATAAGGGAGGAGAAGGACGCAGGGAATAAGGCAGGTTGGGGGAAGGAACAGGAGGAGGCGGAGGAGGAGGAGGAGGAGGTGGCGGAGGAGGAGGAGGAGGAGGAGGAGGAGGAGGAAAGGGACTGCTGAACTGCCTCCAGCCTGATCAGGTTATTCTCGGGATTCCAAGAATCCACACCCTCGTCGTCGTCGTCCTCCTCCTCCTCCTCCTCCTACTCCTCCTCCTCCTTCTCCTCCTCCCCCTTCCTCTTCGCCCTCTCCTCCCTTGCCCTCCCCTTCCCTCTCTCCTCTCCCCTCCCCTCCCATCATCTCCCCTCCTCTCCTCTCCCCTCCCCTCCCCTCCCCTTCCCTTCCTTTTCAGCGGCAGCAGTCGGCCTTCTCTATATTCATGCCATGGTTCGGTTAGTGACCGCCACCATCAATCTTCCCGTTTGCGTCAGCGGACCATCGACTTCCGAGAGTTTCCGAACTGGTCCATGGCCATGGACGAGGCAGGAGCGGGGTTGCGGCAGAAGCTGGTTGAACGGGGCATGGAAGGATCGACGGGAGGGAGGGACCCAGGAGGGATTGAGACAGGGAATGACACGAGGTTTCATACAGTGCCTATCCTCTCTGACTTCGCCTTCATCTCAACACAGGCTTCCTCCCTTAGCTTCGACGCCCTCTGTCGCCTTTGGCAGCCCCCACCGCCATCTGCCTTGGTCCTACGCCAGCCCCTAGGGCGGAAGGAATTGGCGCCGATGACCTCCCAGGCCATCAACAGAGGTTCGGGACAGGCGCGTTCTCTAATAGCGAGGACAGATCGCCGCTGTGCCTACACGCAGCCGGTTATTCGACCACGTCTCTTTGCACGTCTCCCCCAGAAGTCATTGTCAGAGCTTCTTGCGTGCAGTCGGTAGCAGTCAATTTTCGAGTGCACGCCCACCGTAAGTGCCCTGTTCCCCTTTGTGCAGACGCCTCCAGAGGCCTCTCGCGGCTGAACCTCCCTCCCGCAGCGCCAAGGGGGAGTTCTCCACCACCCTGCCAGACGTCTAGGGGATGCTGCTGGGATGCTTCAGGGTGCAGTCAATCGGGGCCGACAGGCTCTTACACGTCGCACTTTTCTAGCCTCTCTCGAGGCCCTCACAGCTTATACCAGAAACAGCGCGGGCACAATAGGTAAAAGCTATTTGCGGATTTCGGGTCGGGACCTGTCTGAGGGTCTCCCTTGATATTTCAGTCGCAGGCATTAGAGAAGGACGTTGAAAGCGAGCGCGTGTCCTGGCCCCCCCTCTGGCAGCAGTCGGGTGTTTTGTGTTTGTGTGGAGCTCCTGGACCGTGTCCGGTTCCCTGACTTGAAGTCTTAGACGCTTGCGTGCGGTATTGTGTGAGCCATGATTAGCTTTGCGATGTGAAGGCTGACAGCAGGCTGGGAGTAGCCTTCGGTGGGACCATATAAACTCCAGCACCTGCACAGTATAATGGATATCGGTGATGCAGTATAATCGTGCAGCCATGTGGTTTCGCGACGTGCACACGTGTAGCTACGAGGTCAGGTGTAGGTGTAGTAAACCATGGCTACTTAGATGCGATGCGACTTGGTGCGATTGTGGGGGGCCGTGCCGTAGCTATGACTGTCACGAGGTATGAGGTGTCCGTCGGATCTTGGACAGATGCACCGTGAATAATCTGGCAGCTGAGAGGTCATAACACCAATCGGTATTGTAGCTATGAGGTTGCGCTTTGGTCTTTCAGCGTCGGCAGAGAGTTCGTGTGGCGATAGTTTTGAACCTGACGCAGGGTACGGGCTTACAGGTAGAGTAGGAGTTGGCTGCGGGGGCGCTATTGCGAATGATTTAGCTGTGGGGTGTGGTTTTGTTGCCGTGGAGCATGTTTGGCGAGTACTTGAATGAACAACTGATGAGCAGGACGTGCCGCGTTTGTAATCGTCACTCCTGGATGTCTCGAGCGTTTGCGTGGATTAACAGATTGATGTATTCTCTTGGGGCATGTGTGAGCTGTTTCGGATAGTTCTCGGGGCCCTCTTGAGCAGTCTTGGAGTGCTCTGATTCTGTTGCATGTATTTTGAAGCCACGTTGAGCTGACAAACCACACATGCGAAGCATATTGATGAACCATGATGATATCGGCAAATTGAGATTTCTGAGGCCAGTCTAGTGGATTGGAGCATCTCCTCGAGGATCTTGTGAGCCTCCTGGGTTTCCGTAGGCCTCATGGAATCTTCCGAGGGCCTCTTTACGGGCGTTTCTTCGCAGACGCTTGGGGGATCTTGAGGTCGGTTTGGGTGCATTTAGCTTCACGAGGGCTCAGCCGAAAAACAGATGTAGCGATGTTTGAGAATCCTATTGCCACTCTGCAGTTGCAGCTACAGCTCTAGGGCACTCCACTACAGCAAGTTCGCGTCGTGTCGACGCGGCGGCGACCCCAGCGCGGGCGTTTGAACACCGCCAGAGTCGCGGAATCGGCCGATGTGGAATGATTTGAACGATCGGAAAGTCGCGATCGTCAAGGTTGAACGATCCGCGTGGTGTCAGAAACCAACGCGCAAGTCGTCACGACACGAATCCGAATCGGGGACTTACCCACAACCACCGCCCAGGAATCGACTTTCGGGGACCTCGGCAGGCGGTGCATGTGGATGTCTTCGGGCTTGGAGGGGGGGGCCACAACATCCATGTCCACCGCCTTGCGAGGCCCACGAAGATCGATCCCCCAGGCGGTGACCGTGGAGCATTCCCCGCCTCGTAGCGAACCAGCCGTGCGTGCTGAGGGCACGGTGGCGGCTTCTCTCCTCCTGCCGTCGCCTCCGCACGCGGCCCGCGGCCCCGAAAGAGCCGGCGGGCGCGGGCAAGGTCGAGCAGCCAGCGTGGGCCACGCAGGGGTACTGACTGCGGCTCGGCTCCCCCCCATCCCTCCGCCTCCCTCTGCTTTCCTCCTCCTCCCCCCTCCTCGGTTGCCTCGCTCCCTGTCCGTTCGCCCCTCCTTCCTTCGTCCCTCAGCGCTGCCAGGAACGTGCGGCGTCTCGTCCGCGGCATTCGTCGTGCTGTCTAGTGGGTGCACTTTCATACGACAACGCGCTTCGGTGACTGATCCTGGACGTGGCTGCTGGTGTGGTTGGTTGGGTAGAAACAAATTATCCTCTTCTTATTTTTCTTCTTCTTCACTTCCGCCTTTGCACCGGGAGGACGGGCGGAGAAGGGGCGGCATAGGAGCCCGCGGCACCTCCCCCGTGCAGTATATGCTCCCCTGCGCTTCTATGAGCAGGTCTCCTTCGCCGGAGAGCCCCCTCGTTCGCGTCCCCGCCCCCGCTCTCGTCACGCCTTTTTTTCTCGTGCTCGTCGTCGTCGTCGTCGTCGTCGTCGTCTTCGTCGTCGTCGTCGTCGTCGTCGTCGCCCTCCTCCTCCTACTTTTCCTGCGTTCTCCTGCCCCGATGCCACCCCCCCTGCTGCACTGCTGCACTGCTCCCTGTCCTCCTCCCCGTCTGCGTCCCCGGGCTCCGCCGAGGACCCGGGCTCCGCGCCTCGGGGGGCACCGTATAGTCCTGCACCAGGCCCCGATATCGATCCTGGCCGCGCGGATCTCTTTGGGCCCGGGATCCGTGCAATGTGTGTGCCTTCCTGCCCGAGCCGGGAGGGCGCATGTGCGCCGATCTCCCGGGCCCAGGACGAGCCTGGCCAGGGTCTGCGACAGCTCCTCCTCCTCCTCCTCCTCCTCCTCCTCCTCCTCCTCCTCCTCCTCCTCCTCCTCCTCCTCCTCCTCCTCCTCCTCCTCCCCTGGCGGTGGTCTGCCTGCTGCCGTGTGCAGCCCCCTGCCCCACTTCGCCAGGGAGCGGTGCCTCCGAGGCCTCCTCCGACTCTTCCGTGTGCCGCCGGGCACGGTACTGGGGAGCCCTGCGACGATCCTGGGTGCACGCGCGCCCCGGCGCAGTCGGGGGGGCGGAGTTGCGACGAGGGCGCCGGGGAGTCGGACGCTTCACCAGCTCGGGGCTCGCGTGAAGGCGGTCAGCGCTGAAATGAGGGTCGGCCAGCCCCCTGCCCGGGTCTGGGAGCCATGTGGGGTCGAGTGCCCTCGTCGCAGTTCCTCCCGATATAATGCGCATGGGCCAATCTGCCAGTTGCAACTCCTCCCTTTGTCGCAGTCTACCTTGCTGCCCCCAAGCAAGTTGCACGCACGCGCACACACACTAGAGATGTATATGTATATGTATATGTATATACAATAATGTGCATAGATGTGGTAACACATAGATATGTATATGTATATATATATATATGTATATATATATATACATAGGTCTATGTATATGTGTATTCACATACTATTACTGGTGGCCTTAGGCCCATCCCGCCACCGTGCTTGGTTGTGGGTATGAAGCCTATTAGATGTTAGTTGGGATCTCGTGGAAGGCCTCTCGGGGGCCTCCTCGAGGCAGTTTGGAGGCCTCTGGCGGGCAGTTTGGAGGCCTCTTGGGGGCCGTTTCGAGGCCTCTTGGGGCCTCTTTTGGGCCTGTTGTGGGCCTCTCGAGGGCCTCTTTGGGCCTCCTGGGCGCCTCTTGGGGCTTCCTGGGGGCCTCCTGGGGCGGACGGATTATAAATTATATGTTTGTTTCGTGCTCCCTCTCTTGGGCCTCTTTTGGGGCCGTCTTGGGGCCCTCTTGGGCCATCTTGGGGCCCTCTTAGTGGCCTCTTGGACCGTCTTGGGGTTGTCTTGGGGCCCCTTGGGCCTTCTTGGAGCGTCGGGAAACCGAAAAGGCAAGAACGCCAAAATCATTCCAAAACCTAGGGAGCATCAATTATCGTTGCATCTTGGGGCCTTCTTGGGAGAGCTCTTGGAGGCCTCTTGGGGCGCCTTGGAGGCCTCTTGGGCCATCTTGAGACCATCTAGGGCGTCTTGGGACGATCTTTCGGCGACTCGGGGCCCTCTTGGACCATCTTGGGGGCCTTGTGGGGCCCTCTTGGTCCGTTTTCAGGCCCTCTTGGGCCTGGAAGAATCATGCGGAACCACTTCCTGGAACCCAGGGGGTGCGCGACAAGTCCCGTTAGATTTGGGAATTTTGGTTCTCGCCCCCTTAAAAGAATCCTCAGGACTGAGGACTAAGGCTCCTGGGGTTGGGCAAAGGACCGGAGGACACCCTCACTCCGTGCCCAGAGACACGGTGGCGGAGGGAGGGAGGGAGAGAGAGAGGGAGACACACACATATCTCTCTCTATGTGTAGGTGTTTATGTATGCATGCATGCCGGTATGTATGCATATAGTCATATATGTATGCACGCATGCATACATGTATGTATGTATGCGTGTATGCATGTGTTTATGTGTGTATGCATGCATGCGTATAGTGAAGTGCATATGCAGGTGTTTATGCACAGCTATGCGCATATGCAGGTGTATATGTATATATATATATATATATGCATGTATATGTTTATGCATATGTTCATGCATATGTAGATGCATGAATGAATGTACATTTACATGCGCATGTACATGCATACATGGATATATGTACATGGGTAGCTATAGATATGCATATGTATGTATGTATGCATGAATGTGTGTATGAATATACATGTATGTATGTGTGTATACACGCACGTATGTATGTATGTATATATATGTATAAATATGTGTGCATGTATGTGTATGCAGTTGTATGTATGTATGAGTGTAGGTTTATATACATGCATGCAGGTGTTATTGCATGTATATATGCATGCATGCATCCATGCATGTACGCGTGTATGTATGCAGCCATGCATGTATGCAAGTATGTCTGCATTCATGCATGCATGTAGGTATGCATGTTTGCCTGTCTGTCTGTCCTTATGCATGCTTGTATGCTGGTCCATACGCATGCATGTATGTATGCATGTATGTATGCATGCTTGATTCTAGGCATGTATATATATATATATATATATATATATATAGATGCATTCGGGGGTGACCAGGGGTCGCGCGCTGCCCGTACACCGACAGCCGTCTCTTCAGTTCGGTTCAAAAATTACATCGGCTATCATGCCGCATACGAGTTTGCAGCCGTTGGCGTCCCAGGATTCGGGCACTCGAGCGCCCAGCATGTTTGCTTTGCTGGGATGCGCCCTGGAGGTTTTTGTCTCAGGGTTTACTTGGGTTTCCGGCCTCCCCCTCAAGAGACTCGGCGGGCAGAATTTGTTATGTTTTTGTGTTCTGTGTGTGCGTGTGTGTGTGTGTGTGTGTGTGTGTGTGTGTGTGTGTGTGTGTGTGTGTGTCAGGCCCCAGTGTGGCCCCCACCCTCAGGCGACTCGTCAGCCCTGCCGGCTGTTTCGGCTCTTCGGGTTACGCGCCAGCGTGCGCTCATTCCCGTGTTTCGTCGCTGTCGGTTGGTCGGTGCATTGCCATTCCCGTCTTCGGACGTTGCTTCAACTTTCTCACTCGCCACCCACGTCCTGGTGGCCTGTGGGCGGGACCCAAAGTGGTCCGGGCGTCTGAGGGCCAGGCCGCGCGCGTTAGCTCAGTGCCGCTCGCTCGACTTACGCCGCCTCGTCGCTGCGCGCGAGGCCGCGACCGCTAAAGAGTTTTCGGGCCTCCCCGCCCCGTGAGGGGCCGCCGGTCTCTCAGTTCTTTTCTTCCTGCCGACGCGCGCGCGCGGCTCCGGCCGTGCGGGCGCCCGACGCGCTGGCGAGTCGCCGCGCTGCTACGACCGGAGTGTGTGTTTGTGTGTGTGTGTTTCTTCTACTCCGTGTCGCTGTGCGCAGGGCCGCGACGCCAAACAACAAACAAAGTGTGTGTGTGTGTGCTTGACTGTGAGCCGTCCACGCTCACTCGGCCTCCCGCGCCTCCTCCATGGCACTGGTCCCTCGCTTTTCGTCTACTGTCGGGTCCACTTAGCAAGTCCCGCTGGGGTCCGAGATCTCCTCTCAATTTTTTTATCGGCTTGCCACTGCATTTGAACCTTTGGCACACATGCGCCAACAGAAATGTTTAATAACGGCCAGCACGGCCCTCGCGCCTGATGTCTTAAGACCCCTCGGCAATCTGCCATTGTACAGGTCTAGATTTCGCCAGTTGCTCATTTGTGCCTCTCACGAGCCGAACCCTCGGGGTGCGCCGTACCTGGAGAGGAGGCAACTCGCTCGCGAACGTGCCGTGCCATGCCCGTCGCTGGCAACTTGTCGTTCGAGTGCCACAGGCTCTTTCGGCCACGAGCAGCTGGCCGAAGTGTAGCAGAAAAGGCGCCGATGGAAAGAGAGAGAGAGAGAGAAAGAGAAAGGGAGATAAGGATCTATATATTTCTGTTCCGCACGATACTGGAAGCTATGGAGCGCTTCGGAGAGGGCTTCGCCTTCGAAGCACCGATAAGCTGCCATCTCTTCCTCGGCCGACGGCGGCGGAAGTGCGGCGGCAGGCTGCGGAAATCAAGCGAGGGCGGCTCCCCCAGCGGAGGCGGAAGGCCTGCCACAGTTGGCGGGAGTATCTGAAACATGCGCCCCCCAAGAGATGGCAACATGCTTGGTTTTGAAGTGCCGCTACCTCGTACGATCTTGGGAACCATCGATGCGCGTGCAGGCTGCCGCATAGCGCATCGGCCTGGTCGTGCCGATCGCTGGCCACTGCAGCGCGAGCACGGGCCGAGGGCGGCCCTGCTGGCGGAAGCAAGCTCTGCCCCCCCTCCCTCCCGGGGTGGCCAACTTTCTCGGCCTCAGGGCTCTCGTGAAGTGCCCAGGCAGGGCGCAGACCTCCGACGACCCGATGCTCTCGACTGCTGCCGCCCCCTCTCGGGACCTCTCCGGCTCCCTGCCCGCGGGGCCCGCTCTTTGCCGCCCCGGGCCGCTTCTTTTGACGAGCGGTCCCGCGGCCCCGGCAGAGTGGCGTCCAGGCGCCAGGAAGCTGCGACGACGACGACGACGACGGCGCCAGGAGGGCGGGAGGGGCTATAGTCAGGAGGGAAAAAAACGCACAGACACAATGAATCGTCGATTCCCCCAAAAACTATGGGAAAATATTTGAAAATATGGGGAATCCTTTTATTTGTGTGTATTTATTTGTGTGTCCCAGGGCCCCTTCATATAGGTGTGGGGAGGGGGGGGCTCTGTGTGGAGCGGGGTGTGTGGTCGGGTTCGCCGAGTGGAGCGGGGGGCGGCGGTTTCTGGCAGGTCCACGAACGTCTCGCACAGAGGCGCCCCTGAGCGCGCTGTCTCAAGACATCGCATTGGAACATGTCTGGGTTCCGGTGCGCTCTGGAACGGCCGCGGCGTCCGATGCACCCTCCAGGCCTGCGGGTGATCACACTTTCCCGATGTATGCAAAGGAAGCCCATGCCAAGAAACATCATGCTTGCCTCCAGGGTGCCCTGGGTTTCTTGTGTGTTCGATGGTCTCGCCATGGAAAGCGTGACGCTCCCACAACAACAAAAACAATGGACGCCCTGGGTTCTCCAGGGTTGGATTTCGTTGTGACGACTTCTGGTGGTCGAGCTCCTACTGTATCTCGTCCTGCCTTTCTGTCCTCGTCCTCGCTGTTTTCATCCTATCTCCTCGGCGGGACGTCTCCCCATCCTGCCCCCTCTCGGGCGTATTTAGTTGCGACAGGCGCCCCCCCCCCATTTGTTCGAGTAAGGGATCGACTACAGAATTGATTCACCCCAGAATGGATTTTCCCGCGGAATCAACGTAGCGAAACATACTACCTGTAATGCCCCGTCGATCTACGAGCCTTCTGCGCGTTTCTTGCATATTCGGCAGGAGAAGACTTCTGCGGTACATCAATTCTGTAGTCGGTCCCCTATTGGATTTGCTTCAGGAGGGAAAGAAACACACAGACACAATTGATCGTCGATTCCCCAGAAAATATGGGAAACTATGGGAAGTGGGGGGGAAGACAAAAAAAACAGAAAAGATCAGAAAGTATGGGGAATCATTTTATTTGTGTGTACTTATTTGTGTGTCCTTGGGTCCCGTCATTGGTGCCCCCCATCCCAGACATCCGACGCCGTGTGCTTTCACGACGCGGCCCCCCAGAGGTCGTGGGCCCTTCCCTGGGGCATGTTTTCTGCCGAGTTGTGCTCTTGGCAGTCCCGGCGCCTGGCGAGGGCCGCCGCAGGACGAACACGTGCAACCATTGGTGGTCGCGATTGTCGGGGGCGGAGAAGAGGGGGGTGATGACTAGGGGGGGGCGGATATCATGGCGGGGGCCCTGATGTTTCCCCAGATTTCATGGCGCCTCTTCTTATTTCGTTGCGTCCCTGGCCTCCCCGCTGGGCCGCGCACCTGCCGCTGGTCACGATTTGCGCCCCCCCCTCGTTGACGCCCCCTTCTTTGCCGCTCCCGAGCTTGTCTTTCATAGCGAGAGGGTGTCGGGGATCCCGTAGCGCCCGCGCTTCGTCTTCTCCGCGAGGGTCGCGCCGCGCCTGACCGACTCCGCCGATGCCAGGCGGTGCGGCCGGGAACTGTTGGATAGCATGTCGCTCCGCCAGTTCCGGGCCCGCCACGCTTCGGCGCGCACGCTGTGCACTTCCCATTCCGCAGGCGCCACCGCCCCGAGCTTTTCCCAGCCTCCCGCCCTGCGCAGCGGAGCGACACGCTAACAGCACTGGTTCGGGCGAGCAGGAAGGGGGGGGAAGGGGTCAGAGGTTCTGGGCTCGAGAACTTTTGGTTGTACTTGTTTTCGGGCCCAGGCACGGTCAAAAACGGATCTGGCGTGGAGCTACGCTAGATGGATTCTGGGAGGGGTATGGGGACATGGGGACAGATTCTGACCAGCACTGCATGTAGTATCCGCAGTGGTCATCTCTGTACGCAGCGGGTGCAATCGACTTGATAGGTCAGAGGGCTGTACCTTCCCCCTCCCGTTCCCAGACATCCTCCGTCGTGACATTTTCAATCCGCAGCCCCAGAGGTCACGACCCCCTTCCGGGGGCAGTCCTGCGTCCCAGATCAACGTTTGATTGCCCCTGGCGCCCGATAGCGGGCCTGGGAGGCCGAAATCGAGGAACAATTCCAGGATTGAACAAATCATCAAACACTCAGAACTCCGGGTTTACTGAGATGACCCTAAGAGGCTCGGAGGTTTCGAAGCGAATGCTAGGGTGAGGTCTGCCTTCTAGCCTCGCCTAACTTACAAGTGGGTGGAAGATGCCCTAAGTGGGTCCCGGGGGAGCACCTATCCAGGCAAAGTGGGCTCCACTCACTTAGGGGAGTTCGTCGACCTCCCTGAACCACTTATAGGGCACTGTAACCCACTCAGAAGCTCAGATCGGCCAAATCTAACCTTCGTTAGCCTCCGCTTCTAAGTCCCCAACATCGCCGTGACAAAAGTGTGATGTGGTCTGCGTGCAAGATGACTGACGACTGGCGCAGTAGGCGGAGCGGGCAGAGTACAATTCTTTCCGTTCGGACACGCGCCCGGTCCCATGTTTCATGATCGACTGGGCGGGGTAATTTCCGACCCTGTTTTGAGATAGCAGCGTTCTCAAGTCAGAGGAACCCATATAACCCATATTACTCCGCGGGAGCGCTGGAGCCATCTGCCCATGTTCGGAATCTTCGGAGGGACCGGATATTCGAACAGTATACCCAAACATATACATTTACGTCACGGCAGTGTGCATGCCCGCTGTGTTCTCGACTGGCTCTAACCATGTGACAGTCAGTCACTTGCAGCCCAGGCTATGGCAGCAGTAATTGCGTTACAAAGACCTCATACAACCAGCAAGTCAGTTGTCGGCCGCCGCGCTGGATATACAAGGCTTCGCCTGCCACGCTGGATTCACATGGCCTCGATGCTTGCCGCGCGGTGCTTCGAATACAGCTGAGGGCCCCCTCGATGATGGCGACGCATCATCATGATCATCGTCGCCATCATCATCATCATCATCATCATCATCATCATCATCATCATCATCATCATCATCATCATCATCATCATCATCATCGTATTCACCATCACCATCACCATCACCATCACCATCACCATCACCATCATCATCATCATCATCATCATCATCATCTTCATCATTCTCACCATCATCATGACCATCATCTTCGTTATCTGCAGCATCATCGCCAACATCATCGTCATTCTATTCGTCATCATCACTTCCTGTCATCGCATTGCGCGCGTCGCCGCATCGCCAGAACCCTGGGCTGGATGGCCCGTGAAAGCCGACATGGGACGCGTGCTCCCCCATTGTCTTGACAAGCGTATAATGTGGTCTACATGCAGGATGATTGACGGCTGGCGGGGTAAGCGTGGCGGGTCGGATTGAAATTACTTTGCGCGGACATGCATCCCGCCCCATTTTTCATAATAGAGTGCCCGGGTTGGTTTCCGATCCTGCTTTGATGTAGCAGAGTGAGTAATTCAGAGGCGCCAGATTTATTCAGCGGGAGCGCAGGGGCAATCTGCCCATGTTCGGAATCTTCATATGGATCGGATATTTCAGCAGCATGCTAAATCGTGTATCCTTTCGTCATGGCGCATACTAGCAGCCCCGCGGTCATCTCAGTGGTCCTCACCCCGCTGGTCGACGCCAGGTGGTTTTCGGGGCTCAGATCGGGCCTCCGGCAACCGGTCGGGGCGATCTGGCCACCCCCGCAGCACTCCCGGTGAGGCGCAGCTACTGTCAAACACCCCGAGGGCGGAAAACCGCCAAGAAGCGACGAACACGCTCGAAAACCTTCCGTCCGACCCTATCTTCGGCCGCCCCCGAGCCCTCCTTTCGGCCGACGTCGTGATTGCTTCGCAACGTCGCCCACCCCAAAGTCTGGATCCCTGGCCCGGAACCGGGGTTCAACCCGAGCCGCTTTCGACAGTCTTGGGGGCCCGGCGAAGGCCCCAGGGGGCCGAAAACAACAGCAACGGCTTTCCTCTGGCAGGCTTTTGTTGCGACGCGCCGCGAAGGGCCCTCCCCCCCGAGATCATCACCGCCCCAAGGGAGGCAGAGGAGGAGGCGGAGGGGGTGGAGGAGGAGGAAGAGGAGGAGGAGGAGGGGGAGGAGGAGGAGGAAAGGCGGAGGAGGAGGAGGAGGAGGAGGAGGAGGAGGAGGAGGAGGAGGAGGAGGAGGAGGAGGAGGAGGAGGAGGAGGGGGGGGGAGGAGGAGAAGGAGGGAGGAGCAGGAGGAGGAGGAGGAGGAGGAGGAGGAGGAGGGAGGAGGAGGAGGAGGGAGGAGGAGCAGTGGACCTGTTGCTTTCGCCTCCGCCGCGATGGCCGCGCCGCGCCAGCCAGGGGGGCCCCCTCCGCACCGCCGGGGCCCTCCGCGGCGCGCCCGGATGCCCTTGCGGTGGCCGCCGCGGGCCGGCCCCGAGCGTCTGCAGGCCTCGCCCGAGCAGGGGCGGAGCCTCCCAACCTGCCTATGTCAAACGACGCGAAGATCGGGACAAAATCGGATCGGGATAACTCGAAATCTCTGAGAATCGGCGGGTTTGGAGGATGTATTGGGCGCCGCGGCCGCTCCAGAGCGTTCCGGAACGCTCTGAGAGCGCTCCGGAACGCTCTGGAGAGATTTATCCCGATCCTAGCCCTGTTTTACTATGGGCACAGCAAGCTCGGCCACGCGCAGGGCCAGGCAGGGTTAAGCTGGGCCTGTTCCTTTACAGGAGGAATATTAGAAAATAGCCAAAAAATAGTCAGGGGACAATTTTTCAATTTTTTGGGAGTATCTTTTGAATTTGTTTTTGGATTTTTTTATTTTTCGTCCAAAATTCCCCTGTATGGGGGACAGGCCCGACGTAAAGGTAGGGTGAACGCCGGACATGTCCCCTTACAGGAGGAGTGCTCAAGAATACCAATATTATTGCCAGGTGGCGATGTTCCTGCTCATTTGACTCTGTTTGTTTTGTTATTTGTTTTTGATTATCTGTTTCTTCTAACGTCGGCCCGTTAGAAGTACATGCCCGACCTAAGGGTAGGGGGTGGGGGAGAGCTTCTGAGAGACACCCCTGCTTCTCAGAAGGCGTGGGCATTGTCTATAGTCTATAGATGTGGGGCTGGCAGCTTCTGAGAAACAGCCTCCTTCCACGAAGCTTCCCCCCTCCACATACCCCCTTGTGCGCGCGGCCAAGAAACCCAGACCTCCTCAACTCATGAAACATCTCAACGGAACGTTTTTCGCTCCGGGCCTCGGAACCGTCGGAAAACGGCTCGGGATGGAAAGTGAGTCCAGGGCAACTTCGAGACGCTTCGGGGTCAATAGACACTAACTTTTGGTGGTCTGCGCAGCTCTCTTGGATCGGCGCTTGAGCTCCTCGGCGGCGCCTCCAGCGCCGCCCCTGGCGCGCCCCGCGCGCCAGGGAGGAGGGTCAGGCGCCGATCAGAGAAATCAGCGTGAGCCCTCGCCAGTCCCCAGGACCATCAAAAGCAACTCGGGCTGAAAAGCCAGACTGGGTCAGTTGTCCAGACCTCTGGGGAGCCACGTTGTGAACAACTCGCGACGTCGGCCAAAAGGAGGGGCTCGGGGGCGGCCGAAGGTAGGGTCGGACGAGAGGTTGTCAAACGTTTTCGTAGTTTCTTGGCGATCTCCCGCCCCCGGGATGCTTTCCTGCAGCTGCCCCTCGCCGAGAGCTCTTGGGGTTGCTTGGCTCGTCCCGAACGGCAGCCAGAGGCCAGAGTTAGGGCCCGAAAACCACCGGGAGTCGAAGGGGTGAGGACTAGCGGGAGGGGGGACGGCACGGCCAAGGCCATGATACATCCCTGGATTTCGTGGCCACCTTTTCGTATTTCAGTATGCTGCGTGCCCCCCCCCCCTGGTCCGCGCACGTGCCTCGGGCCATGATTTGCGAACCCGCCTCTTGGACGCCCCCCTCTTGGACGCCCCCGAGAACCTGACCGCAGGAGGAGGAGGATGAGCAGGAGGAGGAGGAGAAGGGAGCTCCCCGAGACCCTCGAGCAGAAGAAAATCTCCGACCACTCCCCTGTGCTGGCCGTACTCCGTTCCCGCCCCCCTCCTCCGTTCGACGCCCGCCCGATTCCCAAAGGCCTCTTTCAGAGCCCTCACTTTGCCCGATATGTGGAGAAGACGTGGCCCGCCATCGACACCTCCGAACTGTCCCCACCACTGAAGATGACGTTGTACAAGCGTGTGCTCCGTGAGGGTGCTAGGTATGCCAGGGACGCGATCCTGACCTCCGACCCCACCTCCTCCCAGGCCAAGCTCATTCTACTACGGAGTATCTCTAGAGTCATATGGCGACAAGATCATAGATTAGCCGAACGTCTACAGCGTTACCCTCTAGCCCAGGACTTCCTCGCCTCCTCCCCGCAGACGGGCCGCCTGTTCCTCAGGGACCCCGAGGCCTTTGCACGCCGGCTCGACGAGCTGCAATTCGAGGACGCCGAGGAGCAGTTGCAGTCGCTCCGACGCGAGATGGGAGCGGCAGAGCAAGCCGAGGCTCCCTTTGCTGCACGTGCCAAGCTCCGCAAGCGTGCTCGGCGTCTCGCCCACCGTGCCAGAGTGTGGGCGCCATTCGACAGGATGATGCCGCTCGTCGGGGTTAGAGCGGAAAATGGTGAGGTCGTCACGTCCAGAGAGCACATGAATGATGAGATCCGCGCACACTGGGGTCCCATCTTCCAGTCCAAGACCATAGACTCCAGGGCCGCAGAGGTTTACCTTGAGAAATACTGCCCCAAGATCGACGTCTCGAGCATTGCCCCCCCCACCCTGAAGCAGGTCAACTCGTTCATCAATCGTCTCGCTCATTCTGGTCCTGGCCCTGATGGGCTACCGTATGGCGCTTACAAGTACTCCTCGTTCTCGGCCCCGATCCTCCTCGAGGCGATGTGGTGGCAACTCAACGGGTTCTCTATGGGCTCCTCCTGGAACAACATGCTGGGCATCTTCATCCCCAAAGGATCTGAGGATTCTGATTCCCCTCACGGGTGCACCAGGGCCCCCGCTAACCTTCGCCCCCTGGGCCTCAAGAACACTGACTGCAAGATCGTCACGGGTGTGGTCACTAAATGCCTCTCCAGAGAGCTCCCGAGGTCCACGCACGCATCCCAGAGAGGGTTCGTCCCGACCCGCAACTTTGCGAACAATATTGTGGAGCTCGACGTTCACTCACGAGTGTTCTCTATGCAAGATAATGTGTCTGTAGCCATGCCATCTCTGGTCAGTTACGATTTTTCTCAGGCCTTCCCAAGTCTGGCGCATCAATGGCTGTTCTTGGTGTTGAAGCACGCTGGCATGCCGCCCGCGCTGCTGCAATTCTTCCGCCTGCTGTACACCCACGTCCTTTGCTTCTGCGGCGACATGTACATGACGTCGCTCATGTTCATCATCGGCAGCGGGATCGTGCAGGGCTGCCCTGGCTCGGGCTTCCTGTTCTCGCTGGCGGCGGACCCCTTCCTCAGGGACTTCGCGGCGTCCGTGGAGGACCGTGGCCTCGGCGTGGTGCGTGCATGCGCTGATGACGTGGGCGCGGCGCTGAAGCAGATCAGGGCGCTAAAGACGATGAGGCGAGTGTATCGTGCTGCTGAGCGTGTGGCCGCGCTTGTACTGAAAGTGGCCAAATGTCACATCGTCCCGTTGGCAGCGGAGTTCTCGCCCGAGTTGGCCGACCGTTATCGAGCCTGGCTGCGGGAGCACCTACCTGAGTGGCAGGACTTCGCCATCACCCCAGTGCTGAAGTATCTCGGGCTCTGGCTCGGACCCCAGGCGAAGTTAGACTGCTGGATCGAGCCGCTGAAGAAGTGGCGGACGCGCGGGCACCTCCTGTCGATCAGCGCATCCCCACACCGCATCATGTCCTTCAACTACCACTCCCGTGCAGTATCTGTTCTGAGTTATGTAGCGCAATTCATGCCATTGCCAGCCGCCGTACCTGCCCAGGAAGCCGCTCTCCTGGCCCGTCTCTGGCACACGGCACACTGTGCCCTTCCCCGGGGAGGTTGGTTTAACCTTGGCCGCTGGAACGGCCCTGCGTTCCCGAGCCTGGTGATTTCCACGTCGGCGGCCCTCATCCGTTCGAGTCTGGTCACGATCGAATCCTGGCGCACTCTGATGCCGCTGCTTCGTAGATCCGCGGACGATCGCCTGCCCTACAGACGTGTTCTTGGCGGCGAGCTGTCCCCCTCTTTTTGGTCCCAGCCATCCTTCGCGGAGTTCCTGGAGTCGGCCTCGCTGGCCTTCCCAAGACCCATTGGGCATGACCTTGTGACCTCGTCCCCTGCCTCGCGTGATCTCCTGTCCGCCTCTGCTGCTGCTGCGATCGCTTTGCTTCCCCCGCTCCTTCCCCCGCCCCCTCCTCCCCCGTCGCATGGTCAATCTGCCAGCGCCCGTGGGAATGGAAGTAAGAGAGTGAGAATTCAGGGTGCCCTGGCCAGGGCTATGCTCGAGGTGCGATTCCCCGACCCGCTTGTCGATGTCTTTGTTGCTCGCCTCTCCTCGTGGCTTCCCCGCTCTGAGGCCGATATCCGAGCATGGCCCTGGCCGCAGGTGCGCACCACTCTGAATCGTGCACCACCGGCGATCGCAGGCGCAGTCCTTAAGCTGCTGATCGGCGGCTGGACCACAGACGAGCGCTTCCAGATCCGTTGCTCGTGTATCCTTGGTTGTGTGCCGAACGGCCTCGACCGTTGCGGCGACTGCATCCGCCACTACTGGTCCTGCCCCCGCTTTCTGTCCATTCTCGCTCTCGTGCTCCAGGTCCCCTCTCTCCCTGGCTGCCCCGTCCAGCGTCTTGGTCTCTCGTGCCCGTCTCCCGAGTCCATCGCCACCCCCGCTGCCGCCACTTTTCTCTATAATGCTCTGAATGCCGAGCGTGCATCGCTCGAGACGCTCTCTTCCCACAGAGAGCGCGCGCTGGCTGCCACTGTGCGGTTCCAGCTCCGACGGCGGTGATCGGAGTCAAGGACCGCGGCCGCCTCTCTGGGTACGTGCGAGGAGGAGGAGGAGAAGGAGGTGGAGGACCAGTGTCAACCAAAGACGCATCAACGATGTTGCAATCAACCCTCCCTCCGAATTTCCGTTGTCACAGGCCCCTACAACAAGTAGTTCTCATTGCGGGAAGTGGCCCATTAGAAGACATTTGTCTGATACTTCTTAACCATTAACCATGCCAAAGCACCACTCCTGGGACGTCATAGCCGTGAACAACGTGCCTGTCACGTTTCGACAATCAGAATATCTTGCCAGAACACCATTTCTAGGACTTCAGCACCGCCAGCGTGATTGTTACGTCATGATAATCCTAAGTCGTCCCAGAACGACGCTCCTGGGACTTCAACCATACGAATCCTTGGAACTGGTCCTACCTTGGAAGACGAGTGTGCGCGCCAATGCGAGAGCCGAATTTTGTAAAGGAAACGCCCTCCATCTGGGAAACAGCCGCAAACTTTTAAGACGAATGTGCGTTGAGCTACGGTGAGGATCACATTTTGAACGGGAACCGCTCTCTATCCTTGAACGAGCTGCAAACTTTTAAGTCGAATGTGCGCGGCGCTAGGGCGAGAACCACATGTTGAACCTGCCCTCCATCCTTGAAGTTGCCGCAAGAGTGTGCGCGGCGCTAAGGCGAGAACCGCATTTTGAAAACGAACCGCCCTCCATCCGTGACGCTCTTGCAGCTTCCAAGTTTCCGGAACACAGATGGTAAGGAAGTCTTTGGCGAAGCGCCCAGCCCGCCCTGTCAACACGTCTCGGGGTGGCGGCAGGGGGAAGTCATTGGAAATGAAAAGGGGCTTCAGGGGGATTGGGAGGAGGGGGAGGAGGATGAGGAGGAGGAGGAGGAGGAGGAGGAGGAGGAGGAGCCGGAGGAGGCGGATGAGGAGGAGGAGCCAGGAGGAGGAGGAGGAGGAGGAGGAGGAGGAGGAGGAGGAGGAGGAGGTGCAGGAGGAGGAGGAGGAGGAGGAGGAGGAGGAGGAGGAGGAGGAGGGTTACTGCCAGGGTCTTCAGGGCCTCCGCCCGCCCCTCCTCCCACCCCAGAGGCCCCCGCGCCGCCAACGTAGCCGGCCTCCAGCGCGCCCAGGCCGCGGCTCCACATGCCCCGCGCGCGCAGGCAGGCAGCCCGCCCACCCCCGCGCCCCTCGGGGTCGTCGCTCGTCGCCGCTCGAGGTTTTACCGTTGGGAACTTTCGAGCAGTGGCGAAGCGTCGCGGCTCGCCTGTAGGCCTACCCAGGAGTGTTCGAAGAGCCTCTTGCATTCCGCACGACATTTTCGTAGAACATTTCTGGTTCGGGCTGTCTTGTTTTATCTAATTGGGCTTCTGTTGTAAGAACATTGTTTGGCTATGAGAACATTTTTGGGTTTTTAAGAGAATTTCGTGGTAGGCCTATGGGAATGCCGGGACGGTCGGTCCCTGCTCAAACCTTCGGCTTAGCGTGTCTCTCCGCTGGTTCTGGCCCACCACGCTTCGGCGCGACAGCTGTTCACTTCCCAGTCCCCAGGCTGCACCGTCTCGAGCCTTTCCCAGCGCCCCGCCCCGCGGAGCGGAGCGACACGCTATCCGCTCGCAGGGCAGAGCGTGTCCCCGAGGCCTCCGCCGCGACCCGCTAAGCAAAAGTTCCTGACCGTGGATCGGGGCGTGTGCGAGGTGGTGGCGCGAGGGGGCGGCGTTCTAAGACGACCAGGGCGCTTCTAAGAAGGCAGGGGCCTTCTGGGATGCGCCTTGGTGCTTCAGAGACGGCTTCTCAGCCGTCTGAGAAGCATCCAGCCTTTAGACGCTCCCCTGCCTTCTTAGAAAGCCGCCTCCCTCGCCCCACCCCGTCGTGCGCGCTGCCGATCTAGTAGCGAAGGTCGATGCGTTTGGGCCTTCTCGGGCCTCCGGGCGGCTTCTCGTCGCCACGGCTTGACTCCCCCCCCGAGGTCCTGGCCCCAGGTGAGGTCTGGTCTGGTCTGGTCATCGGTGTCGCCGTGCCTCTCAGGGCGGACGCGGGATTGGGGAAGGGGGGAATGTGAAAAACTGTCGCGTGCAGCTGCCATTGGCCCTGCTGCTGGGCGCTCTCCTCGATGCACAGCCGCCTCTGGCGCAGGGCGGCGCTTCCCCCTCCCCCTCCTGCGCCCCTCGGAGTCGTGGTGGTGGTGGTGGTGGTCGTCGTCGTCGTCGTGGTCGTGGTAGTGGTCGTGGTCGTCGTCGTCGTCGCTGTCGTCGTGGGCGAGGTCGTCGTCATCGTCGTTGTCGTTCCTCCTCCTCCTCCTCCTCCTCCTCCTCCTCCTCCGGTCAGGAAGAGCGGCAGCTTCTCGTAGGAGATGTTTCAGTATCAGCACGAGCACCACGTCTCAGTGCACTAAAGGGGCCGAAGCCCCTGCCTGAACCAAAACGGTGAGGGAGGGGCTCGGGCTGGGGGTGTCTGACATCTCCTGGTTACTTTCAACAACTTTCTTGGTTACTTTCGAACAACTCTGGAACGTCTTGTCTTAACGTCTTGCGCAGTCCACCACCTCGAGCACATTTGCATGGTTCAGACACGGTTGAGAAGTAATGTATAGAACGTGCACGCAGCGCTCGACTGGTATATCTCGAAAGAATGCAGCAGTTGGAACCGCAACATACTATGCTGGCTTGGCCAGCTCCTGGTGAGCCGGGCGAGCCAGCAGCAGCAGCATCAGCAGCAGCGTTGGTCTCCGTCGGTCGCGCAAGGCGGCCGAACGCTCTCCGTTGTGTGACTCTCGACGTCCGCTCCTCCCCGCGGATCGTGAGCGCTCGGTCCTCCGCGCCAATCACGCACTCCCCGTTCTGTAGGATTCCGCGCAGTAGGTCGGCACAGTGATTCCTCTTCGTGAGGGGTCGGTGAACTGGTGCTGCGTGCCGTCCACCCATCTGATGCCAGCCTCGCTGTCCCTCATCCTCTCTTGTAGAATCGCGTTGTCCAGGGCCGTCCTCTGGTCCTTGCTGGGTCCCGCCGATATGTTGTACAGGTGATCGTACAGACACTTGCTGTCCGTGACCACGATCAGTGGAGCGACTGCTCTGGTCTCTGGTGCCGTCTTGGCCGTCAGCCCGAGGAATGCCAGAAGAGCGAACAGCGACCTCACGTAGATGCCGTGCGCGAGCCCTTCTTTGGCACCCAGCGTCTCCGCCGCCAGGGGACTGGGTACTTGACGCCATCATGCAGGTGCAGCAGGCACGGGTCGTAGGAGCTCACCTTGAAGCTTGCCTTGATCGCCTCCGCCGCAAAACTCTTGTACCACTCGAGCGTGGCGTCGCCGAGCCCATAGACGCAGACCGAGATCTCCAGGATGGAGTCAGGTTCAGCTCCAGGAGCCCCGTCGGCCAGGAGCTCGCATTAGAGGGGACCCTGCTTCCGCTGGTAGTGATAGCCGTTCATGAAGGCCGAGCTGATCTCGCCAAGCTCGATGTGAAAACCCGTGGAAACGTGCAGCTGCAGGCTCATCATACAGGCCTCCTTCGACACCATTGGGGAATAGGTCTCCAGCTCGGTCAGGGTCGGGGTCCTTGCCTCCACGGCCAACCCATCGGCTCTTCGCCAGGCCGCCTCCGCCCTTGATCTTGCACGTGTAGCAATGACGGCTCGGCATGAGCCTGTCTGGCGTCTCGCGCCTGACGCCGTCCGCTTCCTTCGGGGACAAGATCCTGACCGCCTTGGCCGCCAGGATGTTCTTCCACTCCAGGTCCCTTGCTTCCATGAATTGCTCGAGCTCCTCACTCGTCAGGTCCTCTAAATACACCTTCTTGCGCTTGGCCGCCTGCTTGACGGATCTGCAGGTCACCGCCGCGGCCCGATAGGCTCCGGCGCCTCGTCCACCATCCTCTTCGAGGTAGCGTGCGCGGCACGGGGCCCGGCGAGCAGACGTCGGCGGCCGTCAGCTTGCTCGTGAACCTCCGTTGCGCTAGCTCCTCGCTCTCCGCGGTCCCTTCGAGGATAGGAAGCTCCTCCTTCACTTCGGGCATCTCCGAGTCCTCCACGTCCTCTGGCAGCACCGCCTCGGGGAAGCTGTGGCCGGCCCACTCGGCCCTCGGGGCCCCTGGGCCTCCTCTGCTCCGCCACCAGCTGTACGGGTGGAGCGCGGGCGCTACCGACGACAACCCAATCGACAAGGCATCCAGGGGCGACGTATTGGACCTGTACGACCAGCAGTGGCACATCTGTGACCCCGTCTGGCCGACCATCAACGATTGGGGCCAGGCCGCCAGGGGCGAGTGACCACGCAATGCCTGAGGCAGCATTGCCAGGCAAGGCCGCGGGGGCGTGTTTTTGCAGACCCGCGGGTTTCGGCAAAACCCGGTGGTTTGGGAGATTGCGGGCCTGGTGAGGAGTCCCTCCTCCCGACCTGGCAGGACTGGCTGCCTCGACGCAGTGCCAACGTGGAAAAAGTATCGTCGCCGTCCTGGTCTGGGGGCGGGGATAGAGAGAGAGAGGTAGCGGGAGAGAGAGAGAGAGAGAGAGAAGGGGATCATGCACTTCGTCGCCCCAATCCCCCCTCTGCGTTGTGTGAGTTGTGTGAGTGAGCAATCATGTCCCCTTCTAATTATCCCCTCTTTGGTGCGCCCCGACATGGTATTCCATATATGTATGCGTATGCATAATACACATGTCTGTGCATGTATAGATATAGATTTACATTAATAATATTTCCCCCGTCCGCACCCCCATCTGCGTTGTGTGGGGTGCGTGGAAGAGCACGCACATCACCCTTACACGTTCCCCTTCTTTGCTGCGTGCGCGAAAAGGTAAAGAGCGAGAGAGAGAGAGAGACATAGAAATAGAGAAGGCGAGAGGGAGAGGGGGTCTAAATAGAGACGGGGAGAGAGAGAGAGAGAGAGCATTCCCCTCTTACGTCTCCCCTTCTCCCCCGCGCGTTTTTTAATGTGTGTGTGAGGGAGAGGGCAACCATTTCCACCATCCCATTCCTCATGTGCTATGTGTGCAGAGAGGGACAGAGCACTCACTCCCCCTACCAGCTATCGATTTCTGCGTTGCGTGCAGCAAGACGAGAGAGAGACAGCGAGACAGAGAGATAGAGAGAGAGGGAGAGTACGTGGGAGGTGGGGAGGAGAGAGGTCACTTGCCCTTCCGTGTTGTGTGGGAGGTGCGGGAGGGCAACAGCTTTGCCCTTCCAAGTTCCTGTTTGGCGTTGCGTGCGCAAAGTGAAAGAGAGCGAGAGAGAACGAGAGAGAAAGACAGAGAGAGAGAGAGAGAGAGGGAACAACACTTTTCCCTCGTCCGCCCCTCCCTCTGCCTTGCGTGGCGCGTCAGTGCTTGCGAGGGCAGCCGCGTCCCCCTGATTGCGCCCCCCGTGTGCTGTGTGTGTGCAGGGTGAGAGGTGGCAGCCCCTTCCCCCTCCCTGCTCCTTCTCGCGGTTGTGCGCGCGTGTGTGTACGTGTGGAGGGAGGGGCGAGAGAGAGAGAGAGACAACAGAAGAGAGGGAGGCGGCCGATCCCCCTTCGCACGTCTCCCCCCTCCGTCTCGCGCGGTGTGTTGGCGTGTCGGAGATGCCAGAGGACAGCCATCCCCCCTATCTCATCCCTTTCTGTACTACGTGTGCAGAGTGGGACAGAGCAGCCACGTCTCCCATCGGGTACCCACCTCTGCGCTGTCTGCAGAGAGGGGGGAGCAGAGGGAGGGGGAACAGGAGCTATCGCGTGCCCCTTCCGTGCTGTGTGGGAGGTGCGGGAGCGCAGCCACATTCACCTTCCGAGGTTCTCTTTTGCGCTGCGTGCGCAAAGCGAGAGAGAGAGAGAGAGAGAGAGAAGGAGCAACACGTTTCCCTCGTCCGCCCCCTCTGCACTGCGTGGCGCATCTGTCTTTGAGAGGGCGGCCGCGGCCCCCCTGACGTGTGTCCCCGTGTGTTATGTGTGCAGGGTGAGAGAGCACAACCATTCCCCCCTCCCTGCTCCTCCTCGGTGTTGTGCAGGAGTGTGTGTGTGTGTGTGTGTCGAAAGAGAGAGAGAGAGAGAGAGAGAGAGAGAGAGTGAGAGAGAGAGAGGCAGAGAGAGAGGGTCCTCGACGATTTAACCCATGCCGTTTGGCGCAGGGCTGAGATTTTGAGGGCCATGCTCGGTGTGAGGGGGGCGCTGTTTGCGAAGAGGCTGGCGAAGAGTGAGAGAGATAGAGAGTGAGAGAGAACGAGAGAGAGAGAGAGACATAAAACTAATACTAATACTAACCATACTCATATCAACATATGAGGATCACATTAAAGGGAACGACACAAGCTCGACAACATTGTGAGCACAAGACATGAACAGACTGCAAAACAGCACTCGAAACGGCGAGGGGTGTCACGATACCCTGGCTTCCCTCCCTCTTCCCTTCATCCTGATCCTCTCTCCTCCCTCCTGCTGCTGCTGCTGCTGCTGCTCCTCCTCCTCCTCCTCCTCCTCCTTCTCTCTCTCCTCCTCCTTCTCCTTCTCCTCTTCCTCCTCCTCCTCCTCCTCCTCCTCCTCCTCCTCCTCTCTCCTCTCTCCTCTCCTCCGCTGGCCGTCCGGCCAGGAGCTCCTGGGTCGCCGTCCTGAACGCCCTCTGCATCGCCGCCGCCGGCGCCGCGCGCGGCCCGCCGCAGCCGCGGCCGCGCGCAGGCCGACGCCCGACGACTGACTTCGATCGAGGAGGGAGGGGGGAGGGAGGGAGGGAGGAGGGAGGGGGGAGGGAGGGAGGGGGAGGGAGGGAGGAAGACAGAGGAGGACACAGGAGGAGGGAGGAGGAGGAGGAGGAGGAGGAGGAGGAGGAGGGAGGAGGAGGAGGAGGAGGAAGAGGAGGAGGGAGAGGAGGAGGAAGAGGAGGACGAGGAGGGGAGGAGGAAGAGTGGATGAGGAGGAGGAGGAGGAGGAGGAGGAGGAGGAGGAGGAGGAGGAGGAGGAGGAAGGGGAGTAGTTGGAGGAGGGGGAGGAGGAGGTTTAGTAGGAGGAGGAGGAGGAGTACCAGTGTAAACCCAAGACGAAGCATCGATGTTGCGAGAAGCCCTCCCTCAAAGTTCCCTCTCAATAGGTCCCTGCACGATTAAGTCTTCATTGGAGGAAGTGGCACAGTGAAAGACAACCGTCCGAATAAGTCAACATTGGAGGATCTCATCCCCCAGACTCCAAAAATGGGAGACGCCTCGCCAGGACCGGGCAAAAGCACAACTATTATATATTCACCTTGAAGATTTGATAGAATCTGGGCACCTCTCAATTTCAGAAATTATTCAATGTCGAAGGGCGCCTAGTACGGTGACCCTGCAGCTCCTTGCCAGACGGCCAGCGGAGGAGAGTAGGGGAATGATGATGCTGCTGCTGATGATGATGATCAGGATGATGATGGTGATGGTGATGAAGATGGTGATGATGATGCTGCTGCTGCTGATGATGATGATGATGATGATGTCGCTGGTGATGATGAAGATGCTGCTGCTGATGATTATGATGCTGATTATGATAAGGATTCTGATGGTGATGATGCTGAGGATGAGGATCATGATGGTAATGATGCTGATTATGATGATGCTGATGACGACGACGACGACTACCTGTATGATGCTGGTGATGCTGATGGGGATGTTGCTGCTGATGATAAGAACAGGATGGTGATGTTGCTGCTGCTGATGATGCTGATGATGATAACGAATGCGATGGTGAGGCTGCTGCTGATGATGCTGACGATGCTGCTGATGATGCTGATGATGATGATGCGGATGATGATGATGATGATGATGATGATGATGATGATGATGATGATGATGATGATGATGATGATGGTGATGGTGATGATGCTGATGAATATTGATGGTGATGGTGATGATGAGTATGACGATGATGCTGACGATGCTGGTGTTGCTGATGCTGATGCTGACGATGGTGGTGCTGATGCTGCTGACGATGATGCTGCTGCTGATGACGATGGTGATACTGCTGATGATGATGCTGACGTTGCTGCTGATGATGTTGATGCTGCTGCTGATGATGGTGCTGACGATGATGATGATGCTGATGATGAGATGATGATGATGATGATGATGCCGATGCTGATACTGCTTATGATAATGTCAACACTGAGGATGATGATGATTATGATGATGATGCTGCTGATGCTGCTGATGATGTTGCTGATGCTGATGCTGATGATGCTGATGATGAGGCTGCTGATGATGATGCTGATGCTGATACCGATGATGATGTTGACACTGATGATGCGGAGGAGGAGGAGGAGGAGGCGGAGGAGGAGGAGGAGAAGGAGGAGGAGG